AAAAATTTCCAGTTTGTTTTTGTGATTTTACTCAGATATTTTTTCAAATTCAGATAAGCAGAAGACTTTGTTTATTCAGAGTAAACAAACAATATTTATGTACGTCTATTTAATCCGCCTTAGCGTAAAGACAACGTTAATTTCTCTAATATTATGAAATTTTCAACTCAACCTCTGCAGCATACTTCTTTGGAATTTCTTTCTTATTTTCAAATATCCAAATGTAGTTAGACCTTTTGATTGTTTTATTGTATTCTTATTCCCTTAGGTTCCAAAGGGAACCTACGGCTTCAACAACACATCTTCGTTCTCTCCTGTTCTCTACACTCTCCTTTAGGCGGCCTCACGGAATTCCATAAGCTTTCACCTCCTCCTCATCACAGCACCTCTTCAATATCACCCTCGGGCCCAAACCAAACTCGTCATTTCCCCTTCGATCTCCATTCGGGTAGGCCTGGCCTGAATGTCACCCGACAGTCTACTCAGTGTTTGTCTCATCCGTCTCCGTTTCCTTCAGAATACTTGCTGAGCAGTGTGTTCTTGGTCAGTTCACTCACAGATTTTCTTATCGCTAATTCTTTCTCGTTGGTCAGCCATCTGATCTTCAGTATGGAGGGAGCGAAGAGTGCAGCTGTTGATAAAAGCCTGTTGGAAATGCGTTTAGTGACGCACGCGTGGCAAGTTTCTAACTCATACAGAGGTGGTGACTGACTTGTGATTGATGTTGAAAATCCGAATGTTTTTGTTTGTGCTGTCTGAGTGCAGGAGATTTCCGAACTGGTTTCAGACTGATGAAGGTGTACCTTTCCTTTTCGATTCTGTCTCTGACAGTATCACCGACACCTCCTGTGGTTGAATCGACGGTGCCTAGGTAAATGAAGGAAGTGACGTCTTTCAAGTTCCTTGAGTTGATATTGATTGTTACTTGTTGCTGTTAATTGCTTATCTTCACCACCCCGTGAAGGAAAACGTGAAGGAAAAATAAGGTTAAAAAATGATTTCGTTTCCATGCTCATTTTTACACACTTGTCATCCGTCCTAATCCTGTGTAATTTTGTTTCTAAGCCTCTCGTAAGCCATATCTAGTTGAAAATAATTATCACCTTTTATTCGCCGTCGTAATTATTTAGCATCAAACAAGAATTGTATCCATGTAAAATTATGTATTGAAATGCGATTGTACAGCTTTTGAAAATGAAATCGCCGAAAAGATATCTTTGCTGAACTTCGTGGTCTCTTCTCTCTTTTTTCTATTATTGGGGCATTTTTTGACTACACATAACTCAAGGAAAGTTTACGTCAGGTATACAGTAGAATTCAAAGAATGGTTTCCTGCGTTAACATCAATAATACTAGGGTTATGCGTCGATGGCTTAACGGTAGAATGCTCGCCAACCACGCATGTATTCTGGGTTCAACCTTCGGTCAACTCACTCCTTTACCTCGCTAGACCGGTAACTAGACTGGTAAAGATGGAAGGTTGAGCATGAGGCTAGCAAACCCATCCCGTAAAGATAAAACACCACTGCTACCGAAACTCCAAGCCTCTAGCTTGAAGTCCTATGTTCCACTGGGGACGTAAAGGAATAAAAATAATAATAATGAAAATTTGGTCGTTATAGCTTCAGTGTCTGAAAATATCATCATAATAAATAGTAATGATAATAATAATAACGTTAGTAATACCGTGCCATATGGTTACACCTATTCATCATAAAAATAATATTAATAGTAGATTTATACAATCCCTTTAAATTGACTCGGCGTTGTGCGTGAGCGTGTGTGTTCTTATGTTTAGTGGACAGTATAATCAGTGATTTCTGTTGGCATATATAACCATTATTATCATTATCACTATTTATTGTTATTTTACATGATTAGTGTTCACCAGAAGCTGTTTCATTTTGAATTACACAAATATTCAACAGTAAAAACCACACAACAACAACACTACCACCACCACCCGCCAAGAACAAAACACCGATACACTGATCACATAAACTACAAGCTTTAAAGTTACCCTCAGATAATGGTTCACATTTTTAAACACTATATTTGTATGATGTATTTAAATTGATTGAGTCCTTATGCCTTGTTTTACTTGTTATTTCTATTTTCACTGACAAAAATACAAAACACAAACAAACAAACGAACCAGAAAATATACGGGTGTAGTTTAGAGTTTTGAGACAGCGCGGATAAAAACAAGATATATGTTTATATATATAAACATATGCTTCACATTTGAATCTGTTTATACAGGCTATATGCTACTAACTGTGTGATTGTCATATCGATATGATCGATAAATTTAAATTACTCATTAGTGAGATTAATCATTTTATATAAATAGGAGTTATGTAACATTACAGATTAACCAACATTAGCTCTTAATTTCAAAATAACTGGCTGCCAAGTGAGAAGTAGACATTTAAAAAAAATTATATTTGTAAAATCTCAGTGAAATTGAAATGAGTAATTCCAACGTTTCGTAAGGCAAAACTGGTCCAAACTTCTTCAAGGAAATTATTCGGAACTAAGATAACACAAGTTTATATAGAAAAAGGACATCTCTTGTTTTTGAAAACTTTGTCCAATCATATGACACATGAAACAGTCATCGAATCGGGTCCCAGTGGCTGAATGGTGTGTGAGCTTGCCTTGTAACCGAAAGGTCCTGGGTTTGAACCCTGGCGGTGGGTGCGTACTGATGATGATTCGCAAACTAGGATGAAACAGGTGTCTGCCAGTACTCCCTGGCTTTCAATGGTTCTCTAACTGATATCATTTCGTGGTCAAACTCGTACAAACAAATCTAATCCTTACAAACCAACTGTTGAAAACCAATTATATGAGTCATAAAAAAGTTATCAAAAAATATAATAAACAAAATTGCATGAATTTAGATAAAGCAATAAGAAGACGTAATTTGTCTGAATCGTGTAGTGTATTTGCGCAAGACATTTCGATATTTATATGTCTTACATTGAGAATTTATCGGAGGATTTAATCGAAAATGTGCCACTTAATAGAAGGTATGTAGATGATATTGTAATCATCAGTGATAAGTCTTGTTCTGCTACCTCAATTTTAAATCGAATGAATGAAGTTCAGAATAGCATATCACTTACATCTGTAGAAGAGGAAGATAATTGTTTATCTTTTCTAGACATATTGCTTAGTCGATGGCTTGATGGGTCAATAAAAAGATCTATTTGCAGTAAACCCAACTGGACAGGACAGTATCTTAATTACCACATTTTCTGCCCTGCTCGGTATAAAAGAGCCTTAGTAAGGTACCTCTTCATTAGAATCCAACGAATATACACTGAAGACACACTTGATGAAGAAGAAAGAAAGTTGACACAAACTCTGATTGATAACAGTTATCCAGACAAGTTCATCAGGAGACATAAGGTAGTCAGAACACCAAGACCCACTCTACAACTCGCCTCTAAGAAAGACGTGTACTTCAAGCTACCCTATATGGGGTATCATAGCAGCTTCATAACTAGACAAAGACTGAACGCTGCTGTTAAAAAGACTTTTATGCAGCTAATATCATTATGATTGAGAATGCAAAGCCAATATATCTATCTAAGCCCTTCGAACATGCGAAAAATGACGTCACATCCCACTGTATTTACCAATTTGAATGTACGTGTGGACACACATACATAGGGAGAACTCATCGGTCTCTGCAAGTAAGCGCTGGTTTCAGAGCAT